AGGGGAGGGAACAGAGGAGGGGTGGAGATGGAGGGGGAGGTGAGGAGGAAATGGGGGAGGGGACGCAGGGAGGGGGAAATGGAGGGGGCGGGGAGGGGGATATCGGGAAGGTGACGCAGGGAGGGGGAAATGGAGGCAGAAGAGGAGGGAGGAAGTAGCCCCCAGCGGAGGAGTGCGGCGCAGGGTGGGAGGTTTCCGAGCCGAGGGGCAGGACAGGAGCGAATCCGGGTTGGGCCGGGCCGGGCCGGGGAGTCCGGGGTCTGGAGGCATCTGGGGGCCGAGCCAGGGTGATGGCCCCCTGCCCTCCCCCCTGGGCCTGCGACCGAGGTCCCAGCCCTGGGTCTCTGGGCCCAGCTGCACCAGGCCTGTCGCCACCCCTGGATGGACGGTTTGGGGAAGTCGAGCCAGGCCAGCGTCAGCACCCCACGTCCCGGTCCCACAGCACTCAGAGCAGGGGGGGCTGGGAGCCAGGACTCCTGGGTTCTCACCCCGGCTCTGGCAATGGGGCGACTCCCCTTCAAAGCTGCCGGGCTCCAACCCTCCTCCCCCAGCTCTCGGGGCCCCGTCCCCATCCTCCCCCCGCCCCCGTCTCTGTTCCCCGGGTCAGGTCGCCCGCTGCCGTGCGAGCGAGCTGCTCTGGAGGGGTGACATCCTGCCACAGCTTCCTGAGCCAGCGCCCGGGCCGGAGCTAGACGCGAGGAAGTGTCACCGCCGGTAGGGGAGGCGTTACTCACCCCCATTCGCCCGGGGGGGTGTTTCTTGATGCTTTTCGCAGCCCCGCTCAGTGCAGACACGGGGTGACCCGCATCCAAACAGGCTCCTGGCACCTCCGGGCCCCCCGACATTCAGACGCTGAGCCACACAGGCGGGGACGTCCGGCTAACGCATTTCCCAGCTGGGTTCCTCCCACAGGCTCCAGCTGGGAGAGTGCAGCTGGGACGTGTCTGGCCACAAAGAAGGGACCAAAAGTCGCCTCATTATCTCTGGGCTCGCGCCGCTTCCCAGCCGGGGTTCAGGGTCCTGCCCCGGGTCCAGAGCGCCAGGCTAGTTAGCACAGCCGTCAGGGCTGGCCCCAGGGGGCGAGGGGCTGATTTCTTGTCTCGCCTTCGGGGGGGTTTGCCTCATCTCTGAGGTCGTCAGTGCCGCTAACTCGCTTAGCATCGGGCGAATGGATTTTTCCTGCCGCCTCTCCAAGTCCCTCGCTTCTTCTTGACCATCTGGACATCTGCGACGGCTTCCACATGCCTCCTTAACCACGCACACGTCCTTTGCTCCTCACCCCAGACAAGTGTACAGAACATTTCAGACAGGGTTACCGTTTATAAAGGGTTACACATGGTTACTACAGGGGTTACAAAAGAACCACCCCCAACTTCGTTTGCAATGCAGATGAGAGACAAGACCTTAGAGCCAACATTGTCATGAAAACTTCTCCTAAAACCAAAGGGGGCCATAATCCGCCATAAGGACCGGTCTGGTCTGTTCCTGCCTTAACAGTTCAGAGACAGGCAGCCTGGCTGACGTGTCTTTTCCAACGACCCAGGGTGGCCGGCAGAATCCAATCCAATCCTACCATACATGGATATATTGAATACACACGACATCCTTCATTCTGAGTTATACAAAATACAAACATAAAATCCTACTACTGCAGTTAGAGCAGGTTGGCTGGGAGCCAGGACTCCTGGGTTCACTCACTGGCTCTGGGAGGGGAGTGGGGTCTAATGGTTAGAACAGGGGGAGCTGGGAGCCAAGACTCCTGGGTTCTCTCCCTGTCTCTGGGAGGGAAGTGGGATCTAGTGGTTAGAGCAGGGTGAGTTGGGAGCCTGTTCTCTCCCCTGCTCTGGGAGGGGAGTGGAGTCTAATGGTTAGAGCAGGGTGAGCTAGGAGCCAGGACTCCTGGGTTCTCTCCCTGGCTCTGGGAGGGGAGTGGGGTCTAATGGTTAGAACAGGGGGAGCTGGGAGCCAAGACTCCTGGGTTCTCTCCCTGGCTCTGGGAGGGGAGTGGGGTTTAGTGGTTAGAGCAGGGAGGGGCTGAGAGC